CGCAGGTTTGGCCGATCGCGGTTCCCACTGGCCGCGGTTCGCTGCTCCAGGCCAATCGGAGCTGCTGGAAGTGGCGCAGGCCGAGGGACATACTGGCCGCCGCTTCCAGCGGCTCCCATGGCCTGGAGCAGCGAACCGCAGCCACTGGGAGCCGTGATCGGCCGAACCTGCGGACGCGGCAGGTAAACAAACCGGCCCAGCCCGCCAGTGGCTTTCCCTGCACAGGCGGCGGAACAAGTTTGGGAACCACTGCTCCATGGAAACTGCTTTTCCTGGCATATGTGTTGATGTTTTTATTCAAAGATATGAAAATAAAATTTAGGTTAATTAAAAAATTGATGTTAATCTTGGGAGCTTTGAAACAAAAGTAACCCAAATGCCTCTCAAGCTCTCTGTTTTTACAATCACTTACAAACTATCTTTGGACCACTATCATCATAGCTCTGCCAAAAGAAAATTCGTGAAAGATGGAAGATGAGGTCACTAACTACATATTGGATGTTCTTTGTATACCAGCCAGAGATTACTGAAAGTTTATATTTATAGCTGTAGCATTCTTATATGACAGTCTGTTAACTGATCTCTATCTCTCCTCAGAGCTTTACTTTGATTTTACTACCATTCCAGTGTATATGACAGTAAAGATATATTTGCTCCTAAAATATTGATTTCCAAAAAGCTTTTAGACTGCATATCCTTCCCATTGTAGGGTAAAAAGTTTGTTTTGCAACTGCAGCAATCAACAGTTGCCAATCTGTATGGATTTGTTCAACTATGTTTTTATTTAGAAAAAGAGTTAAAATAAGTTGTATAAATACTTCAATTTTGTAGTCCTAAGCCAAAATCCATTTAACAAAAAAGTCTACATAATATGCTTTCTATAATGCACAGAAAAAGAAAGTTTTCTATTCATATTCTTTTGCAAATAAACATACTTGCAACTCAAAAAGTCTCCTGATCACCTTCTGAAAATCACTAGATGATTTGATCAGTTTAGGGCAACTGCACCTGTATTCCCCTCCCAAGGTCCAGCAAGGATACCCACTTTTAGACTTCTGGCTCCCAGCTGTCACCTCTCTTGGGTGGAGAGATAGGTCTCTCTCCCTTCTGATGGGGGGGGGGGGGGCTGCACACTCCCAATAATAGATGAGGAGGTGTCAATTCCAGGAGAGGCAAAGCTGCTTTTGTAATGAGCCAGCCACTCCCAGTTCCAATTCAAGCCCAAATTAATGGTGTTAAATTTGCAAATGAATTTTAGTTCTGCTGAATTGACACCTCCTCATCTATTATTGGGAGTGGACTACATCCACTCTGATCGAATTGGCCCTGTCAACACTGGTTCTCCACTTGTGAGGTAACTCCCTTCTCTTCATGTGTCATTATATAATGCCTGCATTTGTAACTTTCACTCCATGCATCTGAAGAAGTGAGGTTTTTTTACCCACGAAAGCTTATGCCCAAATAAATCTGTTAGTCTTTAAACTGCCACCGGACTCCTTGTTGTTTTTGTGGATACAGACTAACATGGCTACCTCCTGATACTTGATACCAGATATACCGATGACCTAATCAGGATGCATTGACATTTTCTGCATAAATGTGACAGCATACACAAAACACATTTCCATATTAAGAGTATAAATGAAGACTGATCAAATAATATGACACTGTCTTTCTTACCTTGGTGAGCACTGAGATGGCCTCTGCTATCCTTTGAAATGAACATCAGGCAGGTGTGAATGAGAGACATGTGAAGGCCAGTCTTGATTTTGATGGGACTCTCTGGCATCCTTTGAGCTAAACCAGCTACACAAGTCTATTGCCCAACAGCGCATGCTTCTATTGCATGACTGGAGAGATTCCTGCTGAAGAATCGCTAACAGGGCAGTGTGCTGCTGCTATCATTCAGAAAAACTTTGCAATTTGTGCTGCCAAAGTGCACAGGGGACAAGATAAACAGTTAGCATCAAGGCACAACAGCAATGACAGCAGCACAACGGCATCTCAAGAACACCAAGATATCACCACTAGGCATGCCTGAGGGGGGCATATGTGACAGCACAGCCAGGCCAAGATGATGGTCCACAAAGGATTAGGACATAAACTGCAGCAATGGGGCCCGAGAGTGGCAAAGGAAATGGACTGTGCTGAGAGGCCCTGGGGCAGGGCAGACTCTGGGGAGTTGACCCCCCGCAGAACAACGAGGACCAGAGGAGCAGGACAGACTGTGGCGAGGGACCTCCGGTGTGAGAGGAAGGGTTTGCCTGCCCGGAGCAGCAGGTACAAGGGCCCCTTTCCCAAAGTTGAATGGAGCAGGACGCCAGGTCAGTGGTTCCCACATCTTTTACTAAGGCAACCCACCAGCTGCACTTTGCCTTGTTTTGCACCCCATTACCCATTCACACCCTCTGTCCTGCTCCCGCCCGACAGGGGAGCCCTGGGGAGCGAAGGGGCTAGACAGCTCATCCCCCCCTTTGCCCCACAGCAGCAGCCTGTCCCACAGGGCTGGGCCCGGCTCCCTGCTCCAGGCCTCACTGCCCAGGACAGGTCACCGTGCTGCTGGGGTTTGGCCTGGCCTGGCTGCCCTCCTGACCCAAGCAGCACCACCACATCCTGCCCTGGGGCAGGTGGCTGGGAAATGGGCGCTGCTGGGGGGTGAGGTGGGCTCCCCCCAGGAAGTACATGTTTGTCTAGGCCAGGAACCGGATAATCCCGCCCTGAACTGGTCTGGGACCCATCTAGAACCTTCCCAGGCCCCGCCCTTGAGGCAACCCTGCGCTAGGCCACGCCCCAGGCGGGAAAAGAAGCCACCGCCTGCCTGCTCCCAGGACAGGGCCTATCGCGCTCTCTCTGCCTCCCATTGGCCCGCAGCTGACCACGTGCTGGCCCAGCCCTTGCCCGTTGAGCACGTCCATTCCCTCCACCCGTACCCACCTACCCTCTCTCAGAATGGTGCCTCCCATCCCTTCTCTTCCGGGGTGGGGCAAGCTGGCGGCAGAGAGGTCACTTCCGCTCTTGCGCATTGAGAGCCGGGCCGGGCGGCAAATAAACGGGACTCGGTGGGTAGCGGCTGCCTCCCTGAGGGGAGGCAGGGGCTAGTTGCTCGCGAGGCGGCGGGGCTGCGGGAGGCGGCTCCTCCTCAGGGGCGCCGAGCCGAGGCGTGTGTCCCGGGCCGGCGGAGGCGGCGCCGAACCCCGCGTGCACGATGAGCGGCGGCGGCTCGGACGGGAACGAGGAGTTCTACCAGCAGCTGCGGCTCCAGCAGCTGTACGAGGCCCGCCGCAGCGGCGAGGGCGAGCCCGACCCCTTCACCTATGTGGACCCGGCGGATGGGACGGCCTACGAGTGGGACCGAGAAAAGAAGGCCTGGTTCCCTAAGGTAAGGCGGGCCGGGGGGCGGCGGCTCGCACGGGCCAGGGCCTCCCGGGGGGCGGGGCGCCCGGGCTGGGGGCGTGAGGGCAGCAGCCGCTTCAGGTGCCCCTGGTTCCCTCTGTGTTCCTGAGCCTGTCCAGGAGCGGGGCCCAGGGCCGCACGCAGCGCCGAGCCCAGGGGCAGGCGCACCGGAGCCCCAGAGGGGCTGATGCCTTTGCAGCACAAGGAAGCGTTGGCCGTCTTTAGCTGCTCTATCTTATTGCAAACTCATGTCTAATTTACAGTCTTCCCTCGCCCCAGGTATCTCAGCATTGCTGTGTCTCTTCCCGCGGTGCTGCCTTGTGTAACATTCAGGGTGCTTTGGTATCTGGGTGATAACTAATGGGGGGTGGGGGGGGGCGGCAAAAGGCTCTGATAGTTCTTAGGGCTTCACTGAAGTCTGCCTTTGCAGATGATTTTTGTCTCGGCATCAATCTGCAGCAATGTTTTTACAAGTTTCAGAAATTCCTGGAGTAATACATTTTTATTATATGGTGTGGGATAAGACTTCCCAAAGAGGAGTGGGAAGATAGCATTAAGAGCTAATTAAATACTGGAGTTGTTAATCCCTGGGCAACCCAGTTATGAGAGTGGCTCAGGTGACTGGCTGAATTCACACTCAATCAGAATTTCTGCTGCTGTACAGATGCAGACATTAGGGATAGGGAATTGTATGGTGGGTCAGTAATTTGCAAACCACTTCCCACCCTTTCATAGAGCACTGCATATGGGGTTTTCTCCTTAGCCATGATGTAACCATAGGTCCATGTCTGGAGTCTGGTATGCTTTCCCATTTTGTGTGTGCGTGGATCATACCTAATCATTTTAAGTTTTTTGATTTCTTAAGAGATGACAAGTATATTTTCCAGTATTCTTTTGCCTATGGTTTCCCCTAAATGAACCTGATGACTAGATGTGCATTGAAATAATGATCTCAAAGTTTATTCCACCAGAACAGGATTGAGGGCCATTGGTCAGCAATTGTGTGAGAATTTGCACTTGCCTGTACTGGGGAGAGAGGATTTAGGTTTTTAATGCTTTGATTGGAACCTTTCACAGTTATGAAAATTCACTCTTAAAGAGTATAGTAGCTGCTATTATGTTCATGGCTGGTATAATAAAGTTGTTTGCTTAATATTCCAGAAGATCAGTCCCAGCAACAGTTGTTTTCCCTTTATCTTCCTGGTTTGGAATAGTATGTCTCAGCTGGCCTTGGGTAAATGGAATATTAGCTATATTAATATTCCACTGAGGTTTTTTTATTAATAACCCCTTTAACAAAAATTGTTTTGCACTAGGAACCAGTCCAGTTTCAAGAAGTAAAACAAAGTTGGTAATGTATTCGGAAGTAATTTTAAATTCATTTTGTTGGAACATTTTTCTTCCCACTCAAATCTAAAAATCATGCTGCTGCAGGACAACTAGTTAGAGGTGTTGATTCATTAATTTATTATTAAGTTATTTGATAAAACTCTCAACTATTCACTGAAAAATTCAAAACAATTAAAAAAAAAAAAAAACCCTTGAAGATAAAATTCAGCACCCATGAAAGTAATGAACTGTTGAGATTGGCTGGAGCCAAATATAGTGCAGATTACCGTAATGTGAGGGGGTAGAAGTGGGTTTTTTACCCATGAAAGCATATTCCCAAATAAATCTGTTAGTCTTTATGAACGATTAGTCCGGTGGCACCTTAATGTAAGATTCTTCAAAAGTCAATGCATCCCTCCTAAATTAGGCCTGGGCCTTTTGAGATGGACAGACTTTCCATTGTGTAACCAAACTCTTACACTTGTGATATACTAGTGATTTCTAAACACTGGAATTTAGTGTTATGTGGTTCTGCAGTAATTTGGCAAATTACTAAACTCCAGAAAGCTTTATATTAAGATTAATTCTGTGTTGGAGAAAGATGACTGTCATTGACAATTCTGCATCTCTTTCTTTGCCAGGGGCATGTCCTTGTTAAGCTAAGAGTTTTCCAAACAAAACATTTATGTTGAGACCCAAATAATCTATATAAAAGTTCAAGGAGGCTGTAGTGATTTAATTAGTTACCAGTTATCATGCAAGTATGGAGTTATTCAGAATCCCTACTATCGCACTCTTGTATTTTTGAACACAGGTGAAACTCCTAGCATATGGGTTAGTTCAGGAAAACCTAACCTTTTCTTACAAAGCTGAGTTCTCGTCTTTGAAAAGGTTGTCTGAAAACTTGACCATATTGACAGTGGAAAAGTTGGTTTAAACAATGAGAGGTTGTAACCATTTTGTGACACTAAAGTGTCAAACTAAACTTCAACTAGTATATTTTCTTGTCCTGTTACAACTATACAGTACTGGAAATGGTTTGTAAAAACCTTAGTACTAAAACTTATCTAGCAACAAATAAGATATTGTAAGTTTTGCATCTAATCTAATATAGTAAATTTTTGTGTGAAAGACAGATTTAGACACTGCTCATACACTCACTCTCCACAGTCAGGTTTGGTTGGGAGGGAAACAGCTAACAACATTCAGGTAATAGTCTGAGCCAAAGATTATGATCTTTGGACTTAATCGTGTATTAGTGCATATTGCCTATACTAAGATTTACACTATCTATTAACACCAATCAATCTTCTTTGAAAATTTTTCTTCAAGAAGACAGAGGCCCACAAGTGTTAGTCAATTTAATAGTCAGTGTTTTGGTTCTTGGCTGCCTGTCAATGTCACTTCTCCTTGCTCATGGTTGAGAGCAATTGAGTTCTGTTCTGTTAGTATTACATTATGGGTTTCTTTCTGCCTCAGACAAACCTAACTCAGTAAGTGAAAGTATTAAAAGTTTTACCTTGGAAAAGGGGACACTAATGAAATGTGTTTAAGTTTGTCTGCAATATAGAAAAAAGTTACTGAATAGTGTGTGCAGACTTCTCAGTATGGCTTTACTAATATCTGGCATTTGTAAATTTTCAACTGGAGTGTCCATTTGAGCCTTTATATTTTCCTCTGTAAGTGAAGACATCTGGATTACTGTTTTAGTAGTTATCTTCAGAAATTCACCACCAGTAAACTTGTAATTGTGCCCTGGGGTTTATCTTTGAACTCTATTCTAGATTAATATTATTTAACATTCCTTTTCTAGGTGACTGAAGACTTCCTGGCAACATATCATGCTAACTATGGCTTCCCTACAGATAGTTTAGACAGTTCCTCTGCTTCAAAGACTGAAAGTAAGTCAGCTGTGGATTCTAGGACAGCAGGAGCACAGCAGTCAACAAACAAAAAAGCACCCCAACAAACAGATTCTAAACAAAAAGGAGAAAAAAGAAAACTTGACGCAGGTAAGGGTCTCCATTTTGAATAAGCTGGAAAATATACAATATTTAAGAAAAAATGAGCAAATGTAATTGTGCATTAGTATTAAGCACAGTAGAGACGGTCAGGCATCTGTTCTGAAAATTCTTGAAACACTTCTGAAATTGCATAGCACTTATTAGGTTCTAAAAACCTATATTTCTTATGTGAAATATAATCAAGTTACTAATAGTGTTCTGAGCTCTCTAGGTTAAGTGGAAGCTTCTTGGAAATTTAGTTAGTGAAACTGATAAACGAGAGCTTAGTGTTTAAAATCCTGTTCTATTTCTAGGGGTTTAGCACAACTTTTACAATTATGATTCTGTTTTTAGGATGGTTTCATGTTGAAGAAGACAAAAACACAAATGTGTATGTGACGGGTAAGTCATCACTATTTTTTAATACAGTGCCAAAGGTGTGTTAGGCAATTTATATAAATAAGTCTGCTCCAGAACACTTAATAGTGTGGATCACATTTTAGGGCATTGTCTCATTGACTCCCTCGTCTCACCTTCATAATTGCACGGCCTACTTATGCTCACATTTATGATTGTATAACATCTCTGTGACAACTACAGCAGTTGCTGAGATGGAAAAGTAGTACTAGGAAAGCGTTGAATAAATTTATCTGTTTAAACACAATTTAGCTGGCTGAAACGGGGGAGAGAGCTCAGTGTGGCCAGCAAGTGCTCCATAGATTGCAGTGGTACATGGGCACAACTCATGAATCATTGATCTAGACCAGTAGTTCTCAACCGGGAATCCCTAGGGGGCTGTGAGCAGGTTTCAGGGGGTCTGCCAATTAGGGCCAGCATTAGACTCACTGGGATCCTCAGCAGAAAGCCACAGTCCCACTGCATGGGGCTGAAGCCTGGGGCCCTGATCCCGCCACCCGGGGCTGAAGCCAAAGCCTGAGCAATGCGGGCCCCTGTGGCATGGGGCCCCAGGCAATTACCCTGTTTTGCTGCTCCCTGACACTGGCCCTGGCTTTTATATGCAGAAAAAGTTATTGTGGCACAGCTGGGTTGTGAAGTTTTTATAGCATGTTGGGGGTGGGGGGCCCCAGAAAGAAAAAGATTGAGAACCCCTGGTCTAGACTAGGACAAGATACGGTAAATGGAGGCAAAAAACAGAATGAATAGGGGAAGGGAAGACAATTTTATAGCAATATAATGTAGTTTCACAAATGTTATATCTTTTGCACCTTCTCATGCTTGTTCTTAGCCCAAAGATGAATTTGTTTGAAAAGGTAATACAACTGGCTGTTTTTTGAGTTACATGAGCACAAGAAAAACATACACCTGAAGCAGCATATCTTAAAACATGGAACTCTCCTTTCTCTAGGCTTGGCTAACTCAGGAATTTTTCATAATTTAAAAATATTTCAAATGCTGTTTTTCTTCTGCTCAAATAACTCATTTGTTTAAAAATTTCAAACTTCAGTATATACAAAGTCTTAAATGAATGCATGTTGTACTAAATTAGCAAAAATGATAAGAATGAGAAGTGTGCTGGCTATGCAGTGTCTAACTTTCTGTCCCAATTAAAGTGTAGATACCTAAATGTGTGCACCGGGAAAAACTGTGCATTAGTTAATATATTTATTTGCACATAGGTTAATGTGTTTGCTATGTCATTGTTTTGGGATATTAAGGAAACTTAAGTCCAAAAACACTTAATGCAACACAGACAGAGTTTTCTGATCTGTGGATGTAGTTAATGGTTACTACGGAAACCATAACATTTCCACAATTCACTTGCTTAAAAAGCAGAAAGATTACCAAACATTCAGTTAACAGGAAATAAAACATATGCTCAAAACTAAATTAGTTAACAAAAATACATTTATTTTTGTGCATGTAAAATCTCACCCATAACACTGCACTGACAGGTATTTTTCATTTAATAACTGATTCATTCTTGTTTCCTTTTTCAACACCACTAAGCCCATTTTAAAAATGGATTTGGAATTCACTATATAAATACATTCTAGGTTTATATGGTTGAATTTACTTTGCAGGTTTGCCTCCAGACATTACAAAGGATGAGTTTATACAGGTTATGTCAAAGTGTGGTATCATTATGCGAGATCCTCAGACAGAAGAACATAAAATTAAACTTTATAAAGACAAGCAAGGAAATCTTAAAGGAGATGGCCTCTGTTGTTATCTCAAGGTCAGTGGTGTACTCAATGTAATATTACTTTTTTTTTTTTTGGTTGGCTCTGCTTCATGACAAAGTAGTTCTTTATTGTCAAATATGAAAGGCTGCAACTTTTCTCCGACATGGAGAGCTCTCTCTAGCTCAAAAGCTTGTCTCTTTCACCAACAGAAGTTGGTCAAATAAAAGATACTACCTCACTCACCTTCTCTCTCTCTAATATCCTGGGACCAGCATGGCTACAACATTGCATGCAACTTTTCCTGACACTTACCAACCACTGTTGGTTTTTATTAGATGTTGCTGATAGAGCGCTCTGAATGGGCATTTTGATGCCTTAAGATGACCACTGATCATAGTGCTGTTCACAATCTTTACCTTGTTCTCTCTCAGTCCATTGTATGCACCTGTTTTCACTCATTTTACTTAATTGCAAGCTCTTTGGGTTAGGGACTATCTTTTGTTATGTTTGTACAGTGTCTTCCACAGTGGGATACTATGCACTACAAACATTAAATAATTAATACCCGGGGGCAGAATTCAGAAAAGCTGCATCACAACATTATGGCCATAGTATTGTCATGATAGGTTTTTCTGAATTCTGTTAACGATTTGTATTTTCAGAATGCAGGCTGCAAAATACTGACTGAGGTATTTAACTATGAGGATCTTTCCAATTGACTTTCAAGGAGGTTTAAGCTCATGAGTCTGTCACTTTTGAAAGTGGAACTTAGGTCCTTTTGAAAATTTTATCTTTTATCTTTTTAAATTCTTCCCTATAATTATAGTAGCTCACTGGAACTGTCACTGTGGTTCAGTTTTTAGAAACGATTGGAATGAAGAGAAGTGGTGACTTGGTGAACTGCAGTTGGGGGGGTGAGTCTGTTAAGTACACTGGTGAAATATGTGTTTTTGGGCCAGAGTCAAGCAATACTAAAAGTAGCCCCTTTTTAACATTAATTTTTGTAAACAGGTTCAAGCTTTGTTTGGGCGTAGAGGAATTCATTTTTAATTTTTTAATCAAAACCTTTGCATTGATGATGCTTGTTTTAAGGCTTACTATAATTTGATTTATCTTCAAATAGCGAGAATCAGTTGAGCTTGCATTAAGACTTCTGGATGAGGATGAGATTAGAGGCTACAAATTGCATGTTGAAGTAGCAAAGTTTCAACTAAAGGGGGAGTATGATGCAAGCAAAAAGAAGAAGAAATGCAAAGACTACAAGAAGAGGCTCTCTCAACAACAAAAGTTTGTAACTTTTTTCAGTAAAATGTTTTTTCTAAATGTCTTAGCTAAAACAGTTTTTCAAAGATTATATGTAGAGTTATTTCATTGGGGTGGGGTGGAGTGAGAAATATAAGTTAAATTCTGGCATCTTGAAAGTCCCTTGGATTGTCATGTTTGGTTGGAGTCCATAGAAAACCAAAAACTTCCATTACTTTCTTCTGGACGGAGTGTTACAGCTGAGAGGCAGAAAGTGTTGGTGTGTGTTTTGTTTTGTTAAACGTGATGGAAGTTTCTCTTCCGGAGTTATTGAATCTACAGAACCCTGTAGAGTCACTTTTATCTCTTGTGATTAACGTTGATCCTGTAAGGAGACAGCACTATTTAGTTTCCTGCATGTTACTGTTAGTTTAAATTTAATAATTGCATTACACTTACAAAAATTCTAGAGCAGTTAGCATGAAGTTCCAATTAGTAAATGAACAAGTACACTGCTTTCTGTTTTTGCCTGTTTATACACGGACATCTGCCTTCAGCATTCAAATGTTTTTATTTTAAAAAATTTCTTACGTGAAGGTGAATTACCTTTTTGGGAATCTTTAGATGTTTGTTGTACTTTAAAGCTGGTATTCTGTTAACTTTTTTCTTTTAAGTGAGTCCGAGTCTGAACTCTGACATCAGGTGACTTCAAATACTTTGTCCTAAATTGTTCAAGGTACTTAATAGCCCAATTATGTTTCTCTGCCTCCTTTTCTTATCCCATGCTCCAGTTCAGCTGCAGCCTACAGAATATTTCTGAATGTTCAGTAGGCTACACTGACCGCTGAAGTTAAATTGGGCATGTCTCTGTATTCTGACATTCTTGTGCATGTTTATGGTATTTGAAGCTGCTTTGCTAGAGGAACAGTGATTAACTTACTGATCACCTTTCCATTCTATTTTCTAGAAGATTTAAATAATTCTTTAAAACCAAAGTAGCTATCACTACAGAAATCTGTATGTCAAATTAATGATTTTTTTCAACAAATACTTGTAGAAACTGAAGAAAGGTGCAACAGTGTCTTACTATTGCTTCATTTTATTAGACAGTTGGATTGGAGGCCTGAGAAGAAAGATGCAACAGTTCGAAAGCGACATGAGCGTGTTGTTATCATCAGGAACATGTTCCACCCAAAGGATTTTGAGGTAGGAAGAACTAAATAATAGGTGAAGCTGGTAGTGCTGGCAATAGTCAACATTGCCCATTATTTACCATTATAAGACCCTGTTTTCAGTTGCTTATAACATTGCCAAATGTTAACTGTTCAGGCAAAAAGTTTCCATGCCAAGTGTCTGCCTCAGCCTGAATGTTTTTGAAAATTTCAGCTAATATGGTTCATCTACTTCCAAGAACAAAGCTAGAGAAAAATATTGCCTTGCCCATGTTTTAAAAACAAACAAACATCTTAGCTACTTCCTTGAGAAACTCTAATGCCTCCATGGTTTGTAGCAGGGGCTTGAAATTTGGCTGTGTGTGTGTCTCACTGCTGTCATAGATGCCATTTGCCATCCCCATGGAAATTCACCCAAATAAGGCCAAGTTAAAATATGAAAATTTACACTTCACACATGCTTAATAGAAACTTGTTATTTTGGTAGCAAATACTCTGAAGATACCATCTGCGCTGAGCATGCTCCATCCCAGGGCTGCTGGGGCTAAGCAGGACTTGCCCTGCAATTGTTGCTCCTGGTTGCTGGAGGTTATTGTTGCACCAGCTGGTGTCTCTCCCCCTACCCCAGCTCATTGAAGACTAGTACACCGGCAGGGGACACAGGACACCCCGACATCAGCCCCTGCCGCCCTCCCTGGCTCTGCACAGCTGTCTCCCCCGCAAGCAGCAGCCTGGGCTGCCTGCCTGCTGCTGTGGGTCCTAGTGCCGGGGAGAGGAGGAGTCCACATTAATGTTTTGATTCTGTAATTCCCTCAGAGTACTCCCACAGCCTCTTCTCCCCACAGACCAAGGAGATCCACTCCCTCCCCTGTATCCAGACACTGTGTTTGCTGCTGGGAGCTGGCCTGCTCAGCTGGACAGTAGCTATGTGAGCTTTCCACGCTGAGCAGTTTCAGAACTTCCTGGAGTTTTGCAAGGGGAAGGGCACATGCATGTGCAGCTGGATGCAGGGCACCCGAGTTCAAAACAGTGAGCAGAGCAGTCTCAGTGGGCACTGTGGGTTACCTCCTGGAGGCCAGTTATGGCAACATAATGAACGCAGTGTCTACACTGATGTTTTGTCAGTCTAACTTCGCTGCAAAAAAGCTCTGCATCTCTTCTTGAGGTGGTTTTATTTTGAGGAGCATTGTAGCGTGTACACCTCCACTGTTTTCTTGACAAAAGCTGCCTTTTTGCTGACAAAACTATCGTGTAGAAAAGGCCTTAGTTCAACCCACATTCATGAGAAATAACTTTTGTCCATTTTCTTCACTTTATTTCTTTTCCATAAGCTATGCTATCTGTGAATTTGTGGTATGAAGACACACATTTATACACTCTGATAAATTCTCTCAACCTTCAGGCTTGGGCAGGATTAGTGTAATGGTAGTAATTGCTCTGCTAAAACAAATGCTGTAGGAACATTGGCAGATTGGAGAAAGGTGAGAATGTTTTAATTCAGAAATTATCTCCTGAAATGCCAGAAAAATTTATGGCTATCTCCAGTGAACTCTGAAACGCTAGAGGTATGTGCTCCAGTTTTCAAAACACATTTTGTCCATTACTACAGTACTTTATATCCCTTTAATGAGGAGCACCATGTATTTAAGACCCGTATTTTAAAAATCTCACTGAACTAGACTAATTTGAGTTTAGGATTCAAAATTAAATTTGTTTGCATGCCAAATTCCAAAACCATCCCTGTGTACCATGGAGAACCCATCCCACAAATACCGTAGTGGTATTCCATTTCCTCCAGTAGTTTGAGGTAAAAAATTAATTAAAACTAAACTCTGACATTGGACTGAAAGCAGTCTTAACTCTCGCTGTTGTAATCTTGACAACAGCATGCAGTTTTTTTGGTTGCCATTGGCAATTGAGTGGGAGGCAGAAGGAAAGTGGGTTTTCCCTTTTCCCCGGTAAAATAAAGAAAATTACACCTGCAAAAAATAAGTTGCCCAAAAGAACACACGCCAATAATGTTGATTTGGCAGCTAGCGTGAATCCCTTAAAGTACTGAGGATTTTAAGTTCTAACACGTAATTTCACTTGATTCAGTGGATGAAGGGAAATAGGGAGATTTAGTGTTTGCAGTTTAGTAATCTTAGGTAGATTCTTATACTCTTAAATCAAAATGGCTTGGTTGAAAAACCATCATGTGAGTTCAAAACTGGCTGAGGCCCTGTCTTCACTGCTAGGTGGTGCTTTTTTAGCCTCTCCGTAACTAACATTTGTGGTAAACTAGGTGAGGTCAGTACTATACCACTGCTTCATGTTGACCTCACCTAGTTTACCTTGCAGTAAAACTAAAGTGCATTGTCATCACTGTGTTTGCACCCTGAGAACTAATATTTGCAAGTTACCTTGTGATAAAAATCTCACCTTTTTAGCTGTGAAGACAAGGCCTGAAAGACCATACACAAAGGACATTGATAAACAGCAATGCATCTTGATGGAAAGATCTAATGGAATGCCAAAGGGATTGGTAGCAGATGTAATCTAATTAAACATCTTGATTTGGAAGAGGGAGTAAACAATATTAATGAAACTCAAAAATGATACTAAAGTAGGAGACGTGGCAAATACTAGTAGAAATCACTGAGTGTAGGAAAGAACAGAAAATTAGAAAGTGAGATTTAGTTTGGAAAAAAGCAGTCCAAAATTTGAGAAATAATGTGAAAAGGAATGCTGCAAGTGCACAAATTAGGTCTGAGTTTGCCATGTGATCTGTTAAGTAGTATAGTTCATAGTGGCTGGAGTAGTTTTGTTTGCACTTGTAGCTGTATTGGTCCCAGGCTACAGGTCTGTGTAAGCTCGAAAGCTTGTCTCTTTCGCCAACAGAAGTTTATCCAATGGAAGATATTACCTCACCCCCCTTGTCTTTCTAATAGTTTTGGGCATATTCAGACATTGCACCATGCATTAGGAAGGTAATACGTATTCTTCATATTGCTGGGGTTTGGCCACAGTAGGATGTGTACACTGCATTTGGGGATAGTTTGACATGGTCTCTTAAGAATAGGAGGCTGCCTGATAAGAGTGGTTTCTTGAATAATTTCACTGTTTTCTAGAAAATAGATTTCTATAAATGTATTTTTAAGTAGCTTTAGGTGTTCCAATCAATGGGGCTTTTATTGTATCCTATTTCAATCAAGAACTTTCCCTGATACCAATACTAAATTTGCCTTTATTCCAAGCTATTATCCCATTTCACAATACTAAATCTCACTCATTCCTCAGAGGGTTTCTTTCTAATTGCTTATAGATGTATGCTTCCACCACACATTTAGTCTGAGCTGAGCAGTAACCGAGAGGCAGGACCTGACAACGCTCCTTTTTAAAGCACATAGAGTAGTACACTGGGAATGGAAAAGGACAGTCAGAAGTCCTTGGGATTGAGATGTCATCCCAATTTTAGTAAAACCAGAGATTTGTAGACTGGCTCTTAAAACGAAAATAATCTCAAAAGTGAGTATGTCTGGTCACATTAAAGCCCTTCAGCTCCTCCCTGGTCACTTTTGTTATTCTCTGAACTTCCCCTATTTCATAAGCTTTCTGGGGAGGTGGTGTCTGGAAAAGAATGCAGTATTTGATTCCTAGAGGTAGACTTTGGCTAGTACTGTGAGTGGTTACTTAAATTGTTTCCTATTTGTTTGGAACAAAGCTTCATGGTTATTTCCAGGGCTTTGGAGCAGAGCCTGGAGCTGGAGCGAGGACCAGTAGGTTTTTGCCCGGAGCTGGAGCGGAGCAATTCAAAAATTTGATTGCTCCAAATCCCTGCTTATTTCTTAATATTTTGGATTGTCATTATTTTGCAACATACTACATAAGGGAAAGTACCCAGTGTTTTTCCTGTATAATACATTGCCACTATAAATCCTTTAAACTGTAGGACCTTAGTGTGTGAATTCCAGTCTGCAGCTTACACACATTTAAGGGAATTTTCAGCTTTATTTTTTGTTTAAAAAGCTTATTTTTAAAACAAATCCATATATTTATGTATTTCTTTACAGGAAGATCCTTTAGTACTGAATGAGATTAGGGAAGACCTACGGACAGAATGTGAAAAGTTTGGAGAAGTAAAGAAGGTTCTCTTATTTGATGTAGGTATTTTCTATTATGTTGCATGGTCATAATTACTGTAACCTTCTCAAATCAAATATACAAGATGTTCATGCTCCTTAAATCATGAATAAGATTTCTGGTTCTCTAAAATTTGTTTTTCATGCAATCTTAAATTTCATTTTTCAAATTTTCAGTTCTTGAATTTAATTCAGAATTTCTTCCCATTTTAACAAAGGTAAAGTTAAACTGCACATCTGCATATTCCAGCTCCCCCTATGTCTAGATGCAATATTCAGCTTCTCCAACAGATTTGGGGACATATGCATTAGAAGTTGAAAAGCATGCACCCATGAAATTGCAAATAGCAAAATTCAACTATTTTTTTTTAAACACTGGACTGTGTACAAAAAGATTTGAAGTAGCTTTGTTTAAAACCTAAAGCTGAAAACCCTAATTGTGAAATACTAAAGATGGTGCTGCTCCAAAATCTGAAAAGAATGGAAGGATACGTATTTCAAAAGTATATGCACATGAACAGGCTTGTACATATGTCTGCATCTAAAACTGTGCCTGATCTCTTACAAGGGCAGAGTAAAGATCTTTGGAACAAAATTTAATTCCTGTTTAGCGATGTATATCATAGGGTTTTATCTTTTTCTTACAGCGACACCCAGATGGTGTGGCCTCTGTTTCATTTAAAGAACCAGAGGAAGCTGATCTGTGCATACAAGCTCTCCATGGAAGGTGGTTTGGTGGTCGTCAGCTAAGTGCTGAAACATGGGATGGTACAACAGATTATCAGGTAATCCTTAACTGTGTTTTTTTTTTTTTTTTACCAAATTTTAATTTCTAAAAATTCTTTAACTGTGAATCTATTTAATTTTAAAAATAGAGGAAATAAAATTTAAATGAAATCAGGAATTTAAATGTTCTTTTCAAAGAACAAATATTAAGCCTGGCTTACCCGCAGATGCCAGTTATTTGGGGTCCTAGCAGGCCTATTTTTTGTTCTATTAAAAATTATATTTAATCCAATTTTCAAAGGCCCTGATTATCTTAATTGTACACTGAAGGTAAATTGTTCAGTTATTCATTGCTGTACAAACATTGTTAACAACTAGCACAATGGGCCCTGACTCAAGTGAAACTTCATGGTATTAATGTAGTCAGTGTTGATTATACATCTCTACCCCGATATAACGCGACCTGATATAACACGAATTTGGATATAACGCGGTAAAGCAGTGCTCCGGGGGGGCGGGGCTGCTCACTCCGGCAGATCAAAGCAAGTTCGATATAACGCGGTTTTTGGCTCCCGAGGACAGCGTTATATCAGGGTAGAGGTGTAATAAAGTAGCTGTTGCATAGTTTTACCAAGTGTCAACTACTAATTTTTTTTACATTAAGTGAAAGGCTGGATTTCTGTAGTAATTTTAATTAAGGTTTATTTATACACAGGTGGAAGAGACCTCAAGAGAAAGAGAGGAAAGGCTCAAGCTGTGGGGGTCGTTTTTAGGAGATTCTGATGCAGAGAAGCAGAAAATTGCAGCTGCTTCAAATTCTGCAGCTAGTAGTGTGAAACTGCCTGAAGATCAGCCTTCAAAAGATAATGGCACATCTAAAGGTGATGTGAATGATGAAGCTCATAAGAGAGAGGATAATGGTGAAGGCATTAATGAAGATGGCACTCCATCAACAGACAGCAGCCTTGCAGGCAGTGATGATGAAACAGATACATAACATCTCTAATATTTTATGAAAGCATGCTTTTTAGGGTGATGTTTGGATTTCTCTTATCCTGTGCTTCAGGGTGACTACAGACAGTGTTCATGTGTTTATATGCATATTTGATGTCATCAGCTTGTGCTTTGAAATTTTCATTAAAAGCCGTAGTTAATGAAGATCTAAAAAAGTTCATATTAATTGGCTATTGTTCAAGCAAAATATCTCAAGTTGCCAAGAGCACAGCAGAACTGACCAGGCTTCTTATGTCATATATTTGCTTGTCAGTGTTTAAATTATATAAATGTGAAGTGTGTGTGAACTCCAGAGTTTGAACAATTACACAGAATCTAAAAACATTTTAGTACTATATAAAGATATTAAAATCGATTTTAATGTTTGCTTTAGTTTCCCTACACTTTTGGAACTTGGTATCTTCCTATTAAAGTAACTGGCTTGAGCACTTTCGACAGTTTTACAGAACAGTTGTTGCAGTAAGGCCCAATACATTCACCCTCTACATGCGTTGCCATATTAGGCATTTTCAAATAGCAGATCATGGAGCATGAAATTGTCGGTCAGTCTACAAAACTGAAAATTCTTGCCATAGCCTACACGGAGCCACAGATACATGAGAAGATACTTTAAAATCAGAATGTTCAGTATAGAGGGGTCTCATCTCCTTCTGGAATCTTCCATTGATGTAAACAAGTTGTGAATATTTTGAGGAGATTAGCACCCGTAAACACTTCAACACCAGAACACTATGTAAATAAAACTGACCTCTAATCATCAATTTAAATTCAGATGGTAGAATGAAGTATTTCCATATGCTGAAAGCATGTAAAAATTATACATTGAACATATGGCTTTTTGGGGTTCTTTTGCCTTAAATCTAAGAAATGCTTTTTCTCTCTTTGGTAGGGTGGGGAGTCAATATGTACCCTATTCTTTTTGAGATGGATGCTTTTGGTTTAGTTCACAGCCTGAGGGGCCCCTTCCACCAAAGACTTCATAAAATTTAAAAGATTTTAACCTTTAATCCCAAGGTTGTCACACACTGTATGAATATCGGGGAATATGTTTTTCAAAAATTAGCTCCCCTTTTATATTTATATTTTCTTGTTTTACTAGCCATTAAATTGACTTAAACATTTTTGTTCAATTAGGCAAAGATTTTCAAAACAATGCCTAAAGTTAGCCTTCTTAATTAGATGTGTAAAGTAGTCAGAAGTTCAAAAGTGACTTCAGTGGATCAGCTTGGATGCTGAGCATTTTTGAATAACATTACTTTAGGCAGCCTGTTTAAAAATGTTGGTTAATATTTGGAACTCGCTCTGGATTTGTTCATTTGAGGATACCTTTTAAACTTCCAACTGGAATTGTTGATTCTTTTGAAAAAAAGTAGATAGTGGGTTGTGAAAGATTATGGGTGTTAGTGCTCATGTTTCCAACTTGAAGCACTCAATTTTGATAGAAGACCTTGGTTGTCTTTAATTTGTACTGTACTTATCTTTGATTTTTTGAATTTGTCTGAACAGCTACACTAGCTAGGTTTTTTTGGTAATCACTGTGTTTATGTAGGTTATGGCAATAAGTTTGTATAAAATAATACTTGCCATTGTGGTTGCATCTTATTTCCTTATGAGCAACCTAGATAAGAGAATAGTAGTTAAGATTATCAGACTTGTAACCCCTGATTGTATTAAATTGATGGATACTTTAATTATAAACTAGTGTGACAATTTAATTTTAAATAAAACACCCTTTTGGGATTTTTTAAAGTTGATTATGCCCTTGAGAGGAAACCATTAAATTCTCACTCTCTCAGTAGATTCTTTTCCCATCTTTGAGCACATCATGAATTATAAACCTTAGCAAAATAAGTGCTTCTGATTTGTGTAGGGATTCTATGTTGGTTAGCATATAATTATGGATAGTGTCAAATTCAAATTATCTCTAGCCCATATAGTTCTAAACAAAATGTTTCCGCTGGTACAGTATGTACTTAACCATTGTCATGATTGCAAAAATGTGAATACTTGAAGCTTCTGTGTGCAACATGCAGCTTAATACCATGGGCACTGTTCTCAGTGCTTCTCTATTCTAGCTCCCAAACTCTAGGCTTTAGACCTGTCATGCTAGCATGCTTTGTTAGATTTCTAGAGGTCCTAATTAATTATATAAAACATTCTGGGCAGTTCAATTTACCGATTAAAAAAGGGGAATTGAAATTGCTGTAGAGAATCCTTAAGAAATGAATATTTTACAGTACTACAATGCCTTATCAGTTAGTGTCAAATCAAATATAATTTAGTATTGACTATTTAAAAGTATGCTTAAAAACCCATGTAAAACTAAGGAATTGGTGTATGTACAGAAACTTCCCTCTCAGTTGATTTAAAATTTGATTGGCTTGCCCACCTACTGAAATTAAAATTTCCTTATTTCAGACTGGAAACAAAGCAACAACAAAAACTAAAAAACAAAACAAAACTACTTTACTGGCATTTTGAAATAATTTCTAAGAATATAAAAATTATTTTCATGACACTGCCTGAAATTCTGAACCATTTGTTTCCGCTTCTAGCCAAACAACGGTCTACAATGAGACATTAACACTGAAGTTGGTACACCTCTCTTCACCTACTTTTTTTATGCTTTGACAGTAAAGTAGGGAAAATATTTTTTTTAAAGCAGCAGCTTATCCATGAACTATACAAGAATTGTGATGATGTATAGAAAACAGTGAGACAAATGACTGTTTCTAGTTTCCAGTGGGGTGTTTATGTAAATAGTGGTTTTAAGTTAGAATACTTTTCCCTTTTTATTATATACAGTAATTATGAAAGTTTTCATAATTCATTAGCTTATGGGGGAAATTACAGTTTGCCATCTGGTTATAGTGAATCACGTGATCACAAAACATGAATTTGAAGCACATGATTATGAATTCTAATATTACAGTACAATAAGTTAGTGGACAGTGTGGAATTCTTAACTCTGATCTGCAAACGAGCAGAACTTGTGAATATATTATTGTTTAATAATTTTTTTAGACCTCGAGTAAGTGTTTTTATGCCAAGTGACTATGTAGTAATAAACTGAAATACAATATCTACCCCCAAAATAGTTTTACATGGGTACAGTCCAAAAGTAGCAGAAAATTTGAGTTTTGTCACATGGCCTGAGACGCACAAAATTCTCACATAACCAGCCCCATTGAAGTAGACTGCTCTTGTGAGTACAGTTTTATAGGATTGAGTCCATGATCCTCTCAATTCAGTAAAGATGGCAAGATCAGGATTCAATATGGGTTTCAAGTTTTCCTTATGTTTCATTCCAAAGTGCTGTCAATATACTGCTTGCTTTCAGACCCTACCTTAAACCTTAGCTTTTGAAAGCCATTTTCCTAATCTGATCTGTGCTGGTTCTGCCTGGATACCTTTATGAAGTTGTTACAGTTAGCAGAGAAAACAGGTCTTGTCAGAAGTGAACATTTCAAGAAGTTATCTCTTTCTCTCCCCCCTTTTTAAAATATATTATAGTCTTATGAAAAGGCCAACTGTTTCTGGTCTCGCAGTAAATTGAAATGATTTGTCAGTAATCAATGTAGCTCAAATTCAAAGAGCTGCTTTCTGAAGATCCTGCTTGTAGATTTAGATAGTGGCAAAGCACTGAGTGTATTTAAAAGAATTTAAATACAAAGGGGGGAATATTAAATAGTTTGCACTTATATAAAGTGTGGATAATATTGCCAAGTTCTAATCTATTCATTATTTTGTATTGAAGGGCCAAATCATACTGATCTGTCATTTTATAATTGAATAATAGTCTAGTGATTCACAGATGCTTATGTGCATAAGAGGTGGTAAAACTAAACCAATTAAGTACTATGCAAAGATTAGACTGGAAAAGGGGAAAAAAGCCGCAAAGGAGCAGATTTAAGTGTTTTTCACATTTGCATGTATATGTCTGAAGAGAGGAAGTGTAGGGATAGTTTAGTTTCATTTTGCATCAAAATGTTTGTTGCTCCTGCTGACTTTAACTTTTAAAATACAGCTGGATATACTTAACTCTTAACTGAATTTCAATCCTTAATATGTTTTATTTTGTACAGGGATTGCAATTTGCTTAAAATCATTAATGTATTAAATGCAGTGCATTTTGACCTAAAAACTTGTCCCAGATTTTATTCACAAGGCTAAACTATTTAATTTTTTTGAATATTTAGTCCCAGTTCACTGAAGTGTACAGGTATTAGATGCTTCATAAAACTACACTGACCTTTGAATACTACAGTGAACCAGTATACACATCTTAAACTCTATATTACAACCTGGCTAAATTCTTTCTAAGACATCACACTGCTTTAGATTTTTCATTGGACTCAGTTTTATTTTTTTCTGAATTTGAGAAAATGTGCTGTAGTATGACAAATAAATTAAATTTTGTATATTAAGGAAGTTGTGTTAAATTGATGTGAGAGTGTGCTGGATTATGCAGGGCTTGAAGTTTTTGGTATTAAGGTATTCTGAAAGTGCTATCAAATATGGTTATAGAAATACAAAATGGCTTTCGTGGCTAGTGTTACATTTTTTTCACTGACCCATTACGTAATACTACTGTAGTAATAGTGTAGGATTAAACCTTTCAATAAATTGAGTTTTTCTAATTGGCTTTCCCTTAGAGCTAAATTGAATTTACCATTTAAAATTCTCTCATTCTGAAAAGTAAATGTTTTTTTAAATATTCCTTCATACTTATAATTTCTAGCCCTGTGACAGAATCGAAGAAGCTCTTGATTTGTCTTGAATTTTTTTTGTTTCTTAAAGGGGTCGTGTTTTATACTACCTTTTTAATAAACAAACTTATAAACAAGCCAGTCTTTGCTTCTCTGATCAGTGTTTGAAAGAATGTATTTAGGCTAATTCCTCGTTTGATTTGTTTTGTAAGTTGTTTTTTGTTAAGACCGCATGAATGAATATTTATAAATTGTGGTTGAACAGTAATTTTAATGCATGTGTACATATACACTGATATTTTAGAGCCAGACTCTGTATCTCTGGTAAGGTTACTTTACAATCTATACATTCTATTTTTTCTCTCTTGTGCTATAAAAGTTTCTGAAAATGGATAGGCAGACTAAAACCAAACTGAATTCCACCCAGAATTGCAGCTTCTGCTGAGTAACTCGCATCAAGATGACAGGGTAGAAAGTGTTTAGGACAGAGAAAGTTAAGTTAAGCAAGCAACCTAACTATTGTATTCTGTTGAGCAGATGCTTTTTGTTGTACCCACATACACTGCTATAGACATCACTTCAGTGGGACCAGAAAGCAGAGGGATGGATGTAAGGTGGGGAAGGAGAAAGGGAAAATGGAAAATAGGGCATCTGGGGGTGGCATCTAAGCAACCTTTCCTCTTCAATGTTGAATACAATCTATATAAGTGACTTCAGGTATGTCTGACCTTTTGTAGGAAGGAAACATTTTTGACCCTGGTCACGTACCCAGTGGTTCTTTGCCATTTTTTTTTTTTTTTTTTTTTACTAGGAACTGTTCTTCAATGTAGATATTGTCTCCTTGATTGTGTACACATTGTCAACAAAATCATATTTTTAAAAGCCTATTTTCCTCATTCCTGAAACCTCCTAACCTGGTTGACTTGTTGGAGTGCATTTCATGCATTCTTAGTAACAAGCTGAAGGAAACGCCTAGTTCAGTCACAGCTAGAGGGGTAGAAAGCAGCTAGGGAGTTCATGCACACTCCCTGCATTCTCCTGCAAAGCACACACGTCCATGCTGGGAAAGGATCACAGACGCCACTGCATACCACAGCATGACTGTTCAGAGCGTGGCTCGTCTCCCAGTGTGGCTCAATTGAAGGCAGTAAAATAAGGTAAGAGAATCCTGTTGTGGTATCAATACTTTTACATTGGAAAAGGGTGAGACTTTTTCACTGAGCTGTTTGTATGCTGCTTGGAAAAACTGTGAGAAAAATTTTTTTTTCCAGGCAGTTCTGGATCTCTGGGCAGCAGGGAACAGAGAACAAAGTTGCTCCATGAGACACTCTGTTTGAGAACTAGCGCAGAGCCTTGTCATCTGCAGCAACTCTGACCATTTGGATTCCCAGGGACTTGCTAGCTACACACCTTGGCTCTCAAAGAGCAAATAAACTTTATACAACCAGAAGGTGGGAATGGGCAATGGGATGGATCACTTGATGATTACCTGTTCATTCCCTCTGGGGCACCTGCACTGGCCACTGTCGTCCTTGTATTTCAATAATAGGTTGTTTAGAAAAAAATCTTAAATCCTACCCTGTTTGTACTCTTCCACCCTGAATCAATACATTCCTCTTAAAACACATTTTGACAGTAGTTTGTGGTAGGCAAGCAAACTAGTGGCTTCCAGCTCTGTGACCATTTGCCCTGGAAGCTATGTATGCTACCTCTTTGTAGTCTTCTTGCTGGAGATGGAGGAATGGGAAGTTAAGGTTGGGGTGGTTAACATACATACAGTGCTCCCAAATCTTGGCCCTGCCTTTATACTGTCAACCTCCCTATCACCCAAACCTTGTCCAAATGGCTCATTCTAGGGAATGAGTAGATAGAGATAGAAATGACCTCAGACGTGATTCTAGTGCCACAAGTTGGCTTCAAACAATATTTCATGGTTTTAGGTGCACCGATACCCTGGGTATGAGCATGGTATGGAAAACTAGATAGATACTGATTATTTTCTCGTAGTACTTTGTTGTATCTTGTCTAGTGCTGTAACTACGCAGCCCTTTTCACTAAGTGAGAGGAGTTGAAGGTGTCTGAGCACTCATACTGGAAAAAAACACCTGCCTCGGGATGCAATTTAAAGTCATGAATAGATTGAGGATGGTTAACTAGGGCGACCTAGGGACATTATCAGTGATTTGTAATGAGAGAAGTAGTCCTTTGGCCTGGAAATTGAGTGCTTGACTTTACAATCGTAATGAATTTTTAACGTGTAATCACAAATAACAGGGAGGAAATCATCTTGGAACAGGTGTTTTTAAAGGAGCATTCATTAGGGAGAGTCCAATCACAGCGTGCTTGCCATCCCTCTAAAAGTGAGGCAACAAGTGACCCTGAGCATGATCCCTTCCACTAGCCTGAAAAAATCACCTTTGGACGCAGATGGAGAGAGACCCACTTAATGATTCATACTAGAATGTACATGATGCAGCTGGCTGTAGGCCTGAGATTTCCCAAATCAAGGCAAAGTAAAAGTCACTGTTTCTTCACTAAGGTAAATCAGCTGTGCTGTTTGGTGCAGAATATGAACAATGAGAGTGGAAAATCAAGTAGGAATCGTGTGCTTTTCTGGTGTTGTTGGAGTCCAAGCTCTTCGAGGCATGAACCTTCCATTTATTAATTTTTGTGATAGCACTAGAGGCCCCAATCATGAAGCAGGACCCCTTTGTACTAGGAAATGTGTATAAACATAAGATGGTCTCAATTTTTTTTTTATTGCACCTAATTTTTAGTCTGCATATGTCTACCTTTAACTTCCAGCCATTTGATTTCATTACGATTTTCTGCTAGAGGTAAAGATCAGAAGTGCTAGGATCAGAAATTTAATTCACACATAGGTAGGTAAAGACTGCGATCAAGTCACCTCTTCAACTTTCTCCTGGATCAGATAAATACTGAGCTGCTTTAGTCTCTCACAGTAAGGCAGGTTTTCCAGACCTCATTATTGAATCTTTTCTAAACCCTTTCCAATTTGTCAATATACTTAAGTGTGGGCACCAGAATTGGACACACTATTCTGCTAAAGGTTGCACCTATGCTGTATAGAGAGGTAATAACATCTCCCTACTGCCACTGTATATTCCTCTGCTTATGCATCCATAGATCTTAGCTTTCTTAAATGCAGCATCATACTGGGAGCTCAAGTTGAGTTGCTTATCCACCAGACTCCAAGTCTCTTCAGCATCACTTTCCAAAATACAGTCTCTTTGCTAATGATTCACATTTAAACTGATGGCAAATGTCATCAGTGCTTACACCTATCCAGCAAAAGATTTGTTTAAAATGAGTTAGGGCAATGCTGGTCTCAGTGTACCTAGTATGAATAAATGCACTCCTAGCAGTGCCTTGGAAAGTCCACTATATGGCAATCAAAGGATTTCTCATATGGCAATTTATACGTAGTTAAAATAGCCTGTCTTGAACAGGGAAAGGCTTATATAGATCGGGGCAGTCATTTGTGTGTGGCAAGATGTGATTTAATCCTGAGTCAGGATTTGAAAGTCTTCGGGAATTCCCTGACTTGAATATCTGAGCTGGGCCAATGCTTGTTTCCTCCCCCCCGCCAAATGAAATATAAATTAAAATATATAGAGCATCATCTGTTTGTGTTTGGTTTGTCACCTGATAGTCTAACCTGAATGTGTAAGGAACTGCGTTTCTAAGCTCCATTGGAGTAAGTGTCATAAGAGAACATGGTGCAGGGTTTTCCTTTCCCTCTCTGATATAACATGTTGACGGCAGCAAGACTCTGGAGCCAGAGCCATTCTTTGAGATCTGTTCCTTAAAGGATCTCAAAGCATTTCCCAGACATTAGTGAATCAACCTTAATACCTCAGAACAGAGTTGGTCAAAAAAATTCACCACCACTTTCACTGCAAAATGCTGTTAGTCAGATTCAATGTGTTAACTTTGACAACATTTGAGGGAAAAATTCAAAGTGGAGTATTTAATTTAGACATTTAATTTTGATTTTAAAAAATTAACTTTTTAAACTTCATTTTATAAAGTTTCAACCTTATTGGCTAGAGTGTTTTGACAAGGTCATTTTGATGTTTCTAAATCACATTATTTTAGAATTTCTTTTGTGGAATATTTCAAGATTTGACTTTGTCCTGATTTGGGATGAAAATAAATTTCAGAATGTCTGAATTTCCTGGGGGACAGAAATTCCATTTGCTGGCTAGCTCTGAGCTAGGAGAAGGTGGTCTCTCATTTTATTAATGGAATAAACGAAGCTCAGAGAGTTGAAGTGACTTGCTCCAAGGTCACACAGTAAGTCAATATTGCCAACCCTTGTGATTTGAGCTGGGACTGGAAGTTGTCTTGCCACAATTGTGAGAAGCTTCAGCCCTGCCTGGAGGGAAAACCTCTTCTGATTAGTTGCTTTCCGTTCCTGCCCACCTTCTGGGGAAGAGTAGCCAACCAGGACTGGTGTAGGAGTTAAGACACAAAAATTTAAGTCTCACAATTTGGGGGCCAATTATGGTTTTTGTTTTTTTTTTTTTGTCTGACATTTTTGAATTTGTGGCATGGGCATGGCTGAAGTTCCAGATAGCATAGAACTTTTGAGCTCAATTATTGCATCTATGCCATTCCCATTGACCTCTCTGGGAATTGTATGCATGCACCAGACAATAATGGGACCCCTGTAGTTCTGATTCCCAGGTTCCCATCCTAAACACTAGACCATGCCATCTCCTACAGAGGTTACAAAGAATAGCTCCTGTACTACTGTCGGTCCAGAGGTACTATAGAACAATAGCTGATGCCAAGCAGGCACTTGCCAGCACTGGTTTTAAATGATAGAAAATGAGTAGAGTGCACCAAGCAAACAAATTTAACTTGCAGCTGTTCAGAGAATATAGACACGTGGTCATAAATCTAGGGCTTCTGCAAATGCTTCTGACGCTAGTATGGCATAGCTATTACCTTGTATCCATCTATGTGCTTGTGTGCAAGCAATATTTTTACTATATAAGCTTGAAAGTGCTATTTTAAACAAACATTGGAGTGTGTTGAGGATCCCTGAAGTGCATCTTTGATCCTCAGGATAAATATTAATTTAACAACATTAAGTGTAACAGTCGAGTAACTTCTGTAATGATTCTGTGGCACAGCATAGAGTACACCACCTGAGAGACAGGCACAGTGGTTGCTGGCTAAGACCATCTTAATACTATTTTTGCCAGCTTGGCCAGATGGACACCATTCCGTCCTAGAGCTAATGCCCATGGACCATCAGGCTCCCATTTTGTGACTTGGATAATACCAGGCAGGACACATGGAGTCTAGGCACAGTGCCTTCCAAAAGAGGACTGCTTAGTGAGTGAACAGCTCATGTCACTGGTTCCCTCCGACCCCACCCTTTCTTTCTGCCTTATTTGGGAGCTCCAGCCATTGATCCTACACATGCACAGAAACTATGTAGCAGAGATAAATTTATCCATCCTCATACCACCCTTTGCACCTATGGATTATAAATCTTACTGCAAAGACCAACCTGGCCAGTTGGCATCATTAAGCTCTTTTATTGGCAGCCCTGTACAGATATCCATGTGCACCCATCGAATCTGAGCTAGCAACCATATACACACAGGGTTTGTAGGTCCTTGTGCAAATTGGTGGGAAAAGGGAGAGTGCAGCAAGCAGGAGCTCAGATACAGGATCTGCCCCTGCTTCTGCTGAAAGCAGTCCTTCAAGTTCTAGCTTCAGTGGGGAGATGATCAAACCCAACATTGGTAATACAACTTTGGTTCAAAAGTCCTTCTTGTTTTTGTTCATAGGCACTGCTAGTTACTGAAGATGGAAGCAGAAAGGAAAAACTCTCCAACACTGAGTAAAAGCAAACAGCCTGTGAAAACAGAATGGGGGTCTCAGAGTGTTGTATTTACTTACTTTCAAGGGGACCTTAACAGTGTGATAGATGAACACTTTTCTAGAGCGTTAAGCAATGCCAAGAACCCACAAGATCTGAGCACAAAGCACAAGAGTGAGGATGTTACCCTGAAGAATGGTGAGCAGTTTTCCATCAGTGTGTGTGTTTCAATGCAATGCTGCTGTTTAACTCACTAGAGAGTTTTGCTGGGACATTTAGACACTGAGGACCAAATTATCACATTTACTTCTATGTAACCCCACTTTCACAAAGGAGTCCAAATTCTGATCAAGAGTGAAATCATTCTTTCAAAGCCCTGAGCTTGTACCTAGGATTTCATGGGTAAGCCATTGGGCCCGCCTGTGTGGATTCCCAGTGAATCTCTGCATGGGTCCAAGTGCAGGATCAGGGCCCTACTTTATGAAGAAAGTCTCCACCTGTCTCCGATGTATTACATCATTTTAGATCATTTTTTTTAAATTAAGAGAGTCTATCTTGCCATGACACGAGAAGCTCCAGCCCTCCACCCAAATTTCTGCCCTGTCTGCAGGGAAACCTCCTCTGATTGCCTTCTCTTCCCCAGGAGGTGGGCAGGTAGAGAAGGCAGTTAATCAGAGCTGCTACAGGATTTAAGACAAAAAATTTCAGACATTGAGGAACCCTATGCCACCCACCCTTCAGAAAAAATGCCTGAGATGTTTCACGTTCACAGTTAGAGGTGGTAGTGACTTTCTAGGCTAGTCTATTTTAGTGTAGATTTGTTTTTTTAAAACTAGTATTGTAGTAAATAAGTCAACTATTGTAAGTTTCCTTTTATGTAATCTGGATGAAATTTTGCAGACTTTACTTAGGTAAAATTCCCATAAAAGTCAGTTGGAATTTGTCTTGGAAAAGTAAATAAGAACTTCAATAACGCTTCAAACACTCTTTTCTTTAAAACTAGATAGCCACATGTCTCCCCATCAGTGGAATTTCTCTTCTCATTGGACCAAGTCATATCAATCATCTCCTGCTACAAACACATCAAATTCTGATCCGAATTTGTCGGCTGCTGCTACAGACCACCATCAGGCATCAGTTTTGCGGAATCCTCCTATTCAGCCTGCAGATTTGTGGCACTTCCCTTCGATAGCTAATCCAAGTCTTACTGATTCAGGATATCCTCGCTCCTTGCCTGACCCTCAGATAGTGCAGGGACCAATGTCTGATGGGAAGTATGGTTCTCTTCTTGATTTTCTGCAACAGGAAAGGTGCCCAGCATCTAGCCAGGAATCTGTTGTGAAGCAAAGCTCTAGCTCAGCCTGTATTACTGGATCAGCTAGGTTACAAAATATGAGTCAAAGTTTAACTCCTGGGGGAGGTAAGAAAATATTTACTATTCCTTTAACTGTGATTTGCCCTTGTAAATGAAAAATAAAAATCTATGCCTGAAGGTGGTAAAAGCAGACTCATTCAGTCTAGCTCCTCTTCAATCCAGTTTATGCTGTAGCCTGATCAAATAATGAAACTATAAACCTATCCCACACTTACTGATTTTCACAGGTTCTTTCAAAAAAGTGGGCTATACAGAAGTTTCTCTCTCATTACAGGACTGACTTGATTTGCAAGCGAGATACACATATTCAGTTGACCCTTTACATAGAAACCACATAATTCTACTCATCAATATAAACCAAACAGCAGAAAGCCTTATACATAGCAACTACTTTTAAGCCATAAGATACGATAGCATACTTACAACACTTAGAGATAGAGATGAATACACAATGAGCAGAGCACTCCTGAAGGCCACGCGTTAGTTGACACCAGTCCAGGAAGCCAAAAACCAGGGAACAAGACTGGACTAGACTTTTATACCCAATCTTTGTGTGATGTATCGGACCATAACAAGATTAATACCAGTCTCTTATTCATATGTGGCATTCTGGATCTCTGTAAATTATGCTTTTAATCATTAATAAACATCTTTTCTTAATTCCTATGCATTAATGCAGTCTAACTGCCTAGTTACTGATTGCCAGAACTCCCTTACTGCAGAATTACTTTTATAATTCTGTGATGTATTGTACCATTGTGGTCACTTATCTCTCTCTCTCTCTCTCTCTCAGAATAAGAGTGCAGAATTAATGACCTAGGCTTAACTTCTTGGGCCTGCTAACTTCTAACTAAAACTCAGCCTTTAGCATAATTACTTCCACAAAGTCTCATACTAATAAAATCAGCCTTTAACCATAGCAAAGCCTAATAACCCAATTACTTGTGTTCTCCGACTTGCCCCCTTATGTTTAGCACAATAAGCAATACACAATCAATATCACACCCCAATAATGTCCCTTTTACAGCAAGCTAAAATGATACACGAGACAAGGGCATAAGTTAACAATTCAGAGCCCTTGGCTGGAAGTATTTTCAACAGAGCATCAATGATATGTACTGTAGTACTTGGGAATTGTGTGTTGGCTGCATAGTGTAGCACCATAATTGTTTCCTCTATAGTTTCTTGCACAGCTCTTTCCCCTCTGTTATGTTGCGGCGATACCGAATATGTAACTGAGCTACAATATATTCAGAACACACATAAATAATTGAGTGCCCCTAGCTCTTATATATCACTTTTCACCAGTAGATCTCAAAGTGGGTAACAAACAGCTGGGTGTGTGCTGGAAGCTCCGAGTATGGCTATAAATGGAGTGGAATGTTTAGATATTATTTGAGCAATCTGATTATACCGCGTATATAGTAACAAACCACAGCCCCCATAAAAAAAAATGTCCATGTGCCTAAGAGTTTTTCCCCCCTCCCCATTACAACAATAATTGGGGTAAAAGGCTGGTCCTCGAGCCATGCTCGTCTCCCAGCCAGACCCAGGAAACGGCACGAATATTCATTTCAAACACTACTGAATAAATATTTAACATGAGGTTCAGTAGACTCTATAGACAGCGTGTAATTCACGCTATGGCTATCCCTGTTCCTTTCCAAAAGGGGTTAAAGTAGTCCAGGGGTTAAGACGCTAGGATTTGGAAGACCTGGGTTCAAGTCCCTGCTCTGCCACAGCCTTCCTGTGTGACCTTGGACAAATCAGTTAGGGAACAGAGGGACAGGGAAGCGATCTGTAAAATGGGGTTGATAGTACTGCTATGCTCCCAGAGCTGACATGAGGATAAATACATTAAAGACTGTGAGGCGCTCCAATACTATGGTGATGGGGGCCAGAAACGTATGACAGAACAGCTTCAGACAAACTCGGTCACCAGGGAAATCTGGTAGTTAGTTATTTGTAACATGGTTGCACCCATAGGTGATCCCATTCGGATAGGCACCAGTCACCGAACAAAAAGATGGTCCCTGCCCTAAAGAGCTTAGTGACCAAAATTTACACCATTCAGGGACCCGTGAGAGAGGAGTTTAGTCCATTTCCCTTGCGCCCACATCACAAAGTCAGCCACTGCAGTTGGGACTAATTGGCACCATTATTAGTCTCAGACCCACCTAGGACTGAACAAATGTGGACATTAAAGCTCTCCCCTCAATGTCCCTCCAGGCTAGGTTGGACACACTGGTGGGGATGCTGGCACTGCTGCTGCCTATGCTATCCCTGTTCTCTGGGTTAATACAGGACTTCTCTAAGCAGGGCTCTCAATCTGGCCCCTTCTCCCCATTAATTTCACAAGAAAATGGTTTTTAAAACTCCTTAAAGAGACACTGGAGAATGTGTAGCACATCTGCTATGGGCCAGAAAGCGGAATGTCCATAGCAGGAAGGGGCAATGATATATTAACAAAGCAATTTAGAGTAGGGGGTGTTTTTAAAAATATCCAGCCATGAATATAAACTGGTGAACACTCAGCTTCCTGTCTGCCTGGACAGGCTGCCATCCCATCTCTGCAAGGGCTTCCATTATTACTAACATTAGTGGAGCTGGAAAGGAGAGATGAGATTCTCAAGTCAGACTGCAGAGTGTGTCTTTGTTCTCAGACCCCATATGGAAAACGCAGTGTTTATTTCTGCAACAGATTTTTTGCTTTAGGTCCATTAATAGATGGATTTAGCTTTGTGTTTACATTGCACATGTATTTCCTAGATTTCTCCTTGCAGGGTGTAATGTTTGCCATTGTTAATATTTGCAAATACTAAGTGATGTTCTTACTATATTAAAGATGCGCTCCGGATTTATAGGATTCTAATCAAGGCCTGGCAATGTGGGTCTGGGTATTAAAGCATATGGAACTCACTCTTACACTAGCAGGAAGCATTTCATGGAGGCTGGGTGAGTGAGCATAGGGCCAGGGCAGAGAAGCAATACTGCTAACACCAGAGCTGGTTGAAACTTTAAAAAATTCAAATTGTCAGGGAAAAACTGTTGGGGGAAAAAAACGGTTGCCATTCTCCAACTACTGTCTTCCCTTTGAGGATCTCAGGAGGCTTTAATATGTTTGAAAAACTCTAACAGCCCTGTGACATATACCACTGTGCAGATGGGCAATCTACAGCACAGAAAAATTAAGTTACTGGCTCAAGTTCACACCGTCATTACAGCTACTCCCCTTGCAGTCTATAATCAGGCCCTGGGAATTCTGACGTCTAGTTCTTGGCTCTAACCAAGAGAGGATACTTCTCAATGCACTAGGGCCTTTTGTATGGATCTGCTGATATTTACATTTCTAAAAGCACAGAACGCTGTGCAATGGTCCTGCAACATCTGTGCCAAAAGCTGGGTTGCAAAAGCACAATGTTTCACGTAAGAACTACTTTTAGTGTTGTACCACTCCAGCTTATCATGTTTTTTCCCCTTAAAATTAAGAAAGGAAAGCCAGCTCCTATCAAAACCCAGGAAACCCCAGCATCACTCTTGACAGTTCAGGTAGGTAATGGAACCAGCAGTTACATTAAAACAGTGTAAATGAAATTGGAATGAGCTCTTGTAATCTTCAACAAGGTGTAGTTCCAGGTGTGTTACATACTTCTAAGAATAGTCATGTTTCTTTGCGGAGACGGTGGTTTGCTATGCTAGTCGGGACACTTCATAGCTGTGTTTCTCAACTGTCTCCCTCTAGGGTAGATTTACTTTCATCCTACACAACTCTAGTTTGATCTCCTTGTTTTAGTAGAGAGGTTAGAAACACCACACCCTGCAGCAGCAGTTACAATGTTAGTGCTAGCAGAGCAATAATCCCCAGATCCTTCAGGCTTCCACTATTATTGCCTGTATCTCACCTTAGGTCGTTGTCCCACATTTGGGAGGTTGCTCTGGTCACATGGCTTCTTTATGCTTTCAGTGATGTGATTTATCTCAGAACTAAAATAGCCCCAATGAAATGACCACCAGGTGCCAAAAAAAGAAAATTTCTTTAAAACATTTTAAGAATTTATGTATGCTCGTGCTGTACTGACTACTTTCATATTGCTGTATTTTTCAGGTATCCAGTCTCAGGATAGAAGACGAGACTTATACTTTTAGCCAATGGACATTTCTGCTTTATTCCTAGAGAGTTCTTTCTGTGAACTTTTATAATTGTGAATCAGGAGGAAATAGACCACAGCCGTTCTGTGTTTTTTCATCAGCCAGTTGCATGACTACACATGCTAATATACTATTTTGTAAATGAGTGATTTACTTCTAAGTAAATAACTTCCAACCTGTGTGATTCTACCATAGTAGTTTGCCTTGTATAAATGAAATACATTTGACTAGAGAAGAGTTGCCCTTGGGCCCCCTAAAGACTCCTAGCACTTTAAAATCCCCCTACAACCAATTGTTTACCATCCTTTGGAAAGAATTACCATCCATTACCATTATGGAGGGATGCATTCAATGCCACAAGCTTTTATGTCCTCACACTGGCAAGTTCCCTGACTTGGCAGCTGGATTTGAACTTGTTTAAAATAGCTCAAGTGAGTCTGTTTACAAGGGGACTGAAAATGAGAAACAAGCCAACATAGCCAAGTTCATTTCTCCCCCGTCTTTAGAGATTTGGAAACATTAGGGATCCAATACTTGGATTCATACTTTCAATTCATCCATTGGAGACTCAAGGCTATACAGAGGCAATGCAGGGTCAATGGGCTATGCAGGGTCACGTACCCCCCCCCCCCCCCCACCGCCTCACTGAGTCCCGCGCAACGTGCGCAACACCACTGTAGACCCCTGCCCCCCCCACTGCCCCCCCCCATATCAGCAAGGATGGGTCATTTCTGAGGATATACTTGTCCCTTAGTGACCAATTCCGTCCTTGGTATATCTATGCAGCTCCTTTGGGCTTCAGTGAAGTAGCATTAGTGGATCTGGTAGGAATTTTGGATCTTTATTGGGCAAGATGAAAGTGTTCCACAGCGATAGACGTTAGAGCTGGGGATGGCCTATTAAGTCATTGGCCCAGTCTTCCTGTTGATAGTGACTTGTATCCTCCAGCGCTTTACGTGGTTTAATTTTAAAGCAACTTAAGTAATATGACTTCTGAGTAATTATTGCTGGGCAGGTGGCAGTACATGGTAATCCTCTGACCTTGGAGGGATCTTCTTTTCACAAGCATGTCCTATTCATGAATTCCCACCCCCCCCTCGCCCACTCCCCTGTGCTGCCTGCCCAGAAGACATACTGCATGTTGATATTACACACTCATCTCTTAACTTTCACACTGATCATCTCTAGCATACATGTCTGCTGCACTTACTGCATGGAAAAATCTCACTGGAACAGTGTTCAAGTTCACATGTGTAACTAGTGCAGTATCTCATGGCAGAAATACTGTACAGGAGCTCTTTCTACCCTTCATGGCATTTGAAAGAAGCCAACTCACTAATGTAGGGCAACTGGTAGTGCTTTCTACTGGCCTCCGAAAGTATTCAGGAAGTAAAGAGCCACAGTATCTTTTAATGTGTACATTTTCCTAATGATAGTCATGCCACTAATTTCTCCCATTCATAAGGTATCTTGAGCTGAATAAGCTCAGAGGACAGGGGACTGAAAATATTCAAAAGTTATGTGGACAAAAAGACGTGACCCAATACACAGGGCCCCTCGCACACTCCCCTGGGTGAGTGGTTCTTCTCATCCGTAATCCCCATTTGCTTCAATGGAATTCGTGAGCAACTACTCAGTAGCAGGAATAGGGAGGTCTTTAACTCTGACCCACTATAGTTGCTTAAGCTGCTGAATGGTAAATCATTGGGACTTTTATAAGCTAAGAAGCCCCTCACTTGTGGACATTTCCCCTCCTTCCCCCATATCTACTCTCTGCATTGAAAGATAACCCATTTAATGCACCCGAGGGATACTTCTTTCATGTGCCATCTCTACATAACCAATAAGCAAATTTTACACTTGAAAATCTAGAGTTTGCAACTGATAGGCCAGATCCTCAGCTCGTATAAATATGCCTAGCTCCATTTACACTAGATGACAATCTGGGCCATGGTCTTTAAGGCCTGCGCTACCCACAGTCATACCTATTTAACTAAGGGTTTTATTATATATTGATTTAGTTAAGAGTGTAACACACAAAAAGTTGTTCATCACTGTTTAATCCTGGTTTATAGCTGATTAGCTTGCACTAAATTTGCACTGAGCTAAAGACCAGTGACCGGTTTTAAATCCATAAGAATTTATACACAAAAGTTGCACCAGTTTGACTGATTTGTTATATCAGTGACACTGCTGTGCAAAGACAAAACACTGAAAACTAACACTTCATATTTAGTCAGAACTGTTTTTCTTCTTCTGATCCAGCATTAGGTGTAGCTTTCCAATAAGTTTCTTCTTTGATATTACTACTACTCTGGCCATTCCAGCTCACATTGCAATGAGTCTTTAGCATAGCCTTAAAACATATGAATGAAATCTACTCTGACTTCCTGTCTAACACAGGCCATAGAATTCCATCCAGTAATTCCTGCATCAAAGCTGATAGCAACTCAGATGAAGTTACAACTTTGAAATTGCAATAGTTAAAATGATTTTCCTTTAAAAAACTGAAGATATAAAGATGATATTATAAAACTGTGAATGTCAAGATTGAAAATAATTGTAAAAATATAAAAGGTTGTTATATTGCCACTGTCTAGCTTTTTATTTGTCACCAAAACATTTTTAAGGTGTGTATCTTTTACTGGGATGACATGAGGCATGCACCCCTCTCTCATATATATATTATATATATATATATACACACACACACACACACACACACACACACACACCCCATATCAGATACCCATCAACATCCCACTCAGTAAGAGGATATTTTAAGCACATACAAAGCAGTGCACAGAGTACCATAGCTATGTGAAAACACAGGGATTCAAGCAGAAAGCAAATTTCCAGGATACTGGGATTTTCTCTTTACTTGTATGTACAAGAACTCTGAGCACTTGTATTTATATCAGTAATGGGTAAGGATTGTAGTCTCCAACCTTTTAAAGCACAAGATCACTTTTTGAAGTTAAAGTACAACCCAGGATCTACTTCAAAGAAAATGTAGAAACAACATTAACCACACAAACACCCTTGCCCTGCCCCTTCTCCGAGGCCCCGCCCCACTCATTCCATTCCCCCTCCCTCCATCGCTTGCTTTGCCTGGGCTGGGACAGGATTGGGGTGTGCAAGGAGGTGTGGAGTCTGCAAGGGGCTCCAGGCTGAGCCCGGGGCAGGAGGGTGGGGTGCAGGGGGTTAGGGTGCAGGATGGAGTGTAGGGTGCTGGCTCCGGGAGGAGGCTCAGGCAGCAGGTTGGGGTGCAGGGTATAGGCTCTGGGAGGGGGTTGGGGTGCAGAAGGGGGTTCAGGGCTGGGGTGCAGGAGAGGTTCAGGGTGTGGGCTGCAGCTGGGCGCTGTTTACCTCAGGCAGCTCCCAGGCGGCAGCAGCGCAGTGGGGCTAAGACAGGCTCCCTGCGTGCCCTGGCTCCACGCCGCTCCCAGAAGCAGCCGGCATGCTCGGCAGCAGCTCCTGGGGTGGGGGGAGGGGCAGATGGCGCCACATGCTGCTCTCACCTACAGGCACCACCCCTGAAACTCCCATTGGCTGGGAACGGGGAATCTCAGCCAATGGGAGCTTCGGGGGTGGTACCTGCAGGTGAGGGCAGCGTGCGGCGGAGCCGCCTGCCCCACCCCCCGCCCCCAGGAGCCACTGCTGGACATGCTGGCTGCTTCTGGGAGTGGCACAGGGCCAGGACAGGCAGGGAGCCTGCCTTAGCCCCGCTGCTCTGTGGGACTGTTAGCGGCCAATCTCCCCGTTTGGCTGCAGGAGGGTTGGCAACCTTATCGTGATCGACTTGTCAATCGTGGAGCCTCTGACAGTCTCTCTCAGTCTCAGTGATTGCGATCTACCAGTTGGTGACCACTGCTCTAGGAGGAGGAATTTCTTCCCTTGGCCATCAGGGAGTTGTCAATACTTCTCCAGATTTGCCCCACGTTAGCTGGAGGTAGCATGCCTAGTTTTACTCTTCCTCTAAACAATGTTAGAGAGACAAGATGGGTGAGACAATATTGTTTATTGGACCAGCTTCTGTTGGTGAAAGAGAAGCTTTTGAGTTACACAGAACTCTTCCACAGATCTGGGAAAGGTACTCAGCTAAATATAAGGTTAAACAGCATAAGTATAAGCATTAGCGTAAGTACTTAGCACAGACTATGGGAACCATTCAAAGTGCAGTGGCCCATTGAACACTCCTGTAGTCATATGACAAACCAACAGAAGTTGGTCCAATAAAGGATAATACCTCACCCACTTTGCCTCTCTAATATCCTGGGACCCACACAGCTACAATGCCTCTGCATTTCAACAATGTTGGTGGTTGAGGGTAGAGTGCATTTTTTGCTGCTCCTTTTGACTTTTCATCCACAATTGTATTTCTGATTATACTGATGTACTGTTCCCTCTGGAGAGGATGTCTTCATTCCCATGCACTACATATCCTCTTCCTAACAAAGACCTGGCAAAATATTATACTGCATTCTGTAATTACCATCTGGTGCTTCCCACATTTCTGTTCAGTTTCAGCTCCAAATGATTAATCACCATGGTGATGAGAAGAGTACTGAGACATGTCCACTCCTATCTAATAATGGACATCAACCAATGACTTCTGATTTTCTTAAATACTAGTGCAACCTCTCTATTTCCTCTGCAGAAACTGTTCGGTGGGAGTGAGAAGGGGAAGTGGGGTCAGAAATGGAAATACTCTCGGCATTAAAGTCACAGGTAACATCTTGATCAGCACAATCTCAGTAGCAACCTCCCGTTTACTAAGGAAGTGACTTTTCCAAGTCAGAATATGCACAAAAACATTGATCCAGTCAGCAAAGCATATGGAAGACATGCCATATTGTTAGAAAGACAAGGTGGGAGAGGTGATTGTCACATACCACTCCACATGAGGTCTCATTAAAGTGTGGTCTACATTACAGAGTTTGTAAGCATCTATACTATGTTGCTCCTGCTAATGTAAGTTGCCCATTACCAGGGGC